TGAAGTAAGTGGTGAAATAAGCTATAGAACAGAAGAATGTTTCTTAAATATATGAGAAATATATTTATTTATCACTAGTGATTTTTTGACCAGTCAACATATTTACTTAGTTTTTGAAACTGCTTAATTGTCTCATTCTTGTTGCTGCTCCTATTAAACCCCTCACATTGCATTTTGGGATGTCTGAACTGCTCCCCAACCTACACTCTTCTCTGCTCCTTTCCAGCGCCCTCTCTTCATCTAGTTATTCCTCTCTCTCCTGCCAATGTCATCTTTTAAAATCCACAGATCTGATCTTCTCCTTCTCTCACTTGAATAGTTGCCTATGAGAGAAAAGTTAAAACTAGATATGCCATTTAAGACACATTGAAGTCTTCTCTGATCTTAGCCTATTACTTCACTTTCATTCTCTCATGTACTTTGGCACAGCTTGTGTCCTAGTTAGTCCATTTTTTCTTTTTCTTAAAGAATTAAGCTAGATTTGAGAGGTGTCCTGGGAGAAAACATTCTGTGATTAAATAAATTTGGAAAATGCTATCTTTTTTGTAGTCTAATGGGAACTTCAAGGTGCACATTACTGTATTAAGTGATCTGAGAAGTCCTGCTGGGAAAACAATTGTTTTCTGTCAATTATTATTGAAGTAAGCATAAATATTCTAAACTGCGTAGACATTAAATGTGCAGGTCTATGACTATTTGTAAAGTGAATACAGGGCGAGTAATGTAAACACTTTCCACATCAAACTAGCGACCTTCCTGCCCTGCAGAAGCCCTCTTCATGCCCATCAGGCTGTTCTGGCTTCTGCCACCATACAGGAGTTGCATTTGCTTTCAAATTTTGTGTAAATGGTATCATAGAGTAGGTTTTCTTATGTGTCTATTGTTTTTTGTTCAGTGTTACAGTGATGGCATTTATTCACATAGTCACATAATTTGTTCTGTTGCTCTAGGCCAGGGATTGGCAAAGTATTGCCCACACACCTAATCCAGCCCTCCACCTGTTTTGTACCGCCTCTGAGCTAAGAATAATTTCCATGTTTTTCAAGGGTAGTAAAAAATATGTATGAATATACAGTGGAGAACATGTAGGGACTGCAATGTCTAAGGCATTTATTTTCTGGCTCTTAACAGAAAAAAGTTGCCAATATTTGCTCTGTGGTATTCCACTGTATAAATATACAAATTACTTATCCCTTCTCTTATTTATGGGCATTTGGGTTATATCCTGTTTGGGGTCATGACAAATAGTGCTACAGTGGACATTCTTGTACAAATCTTTTGATGAACATATGTATACAATTTTTTTGTTGTTGCTGTTAGGAGTGGAATTGCTAGACTACAAAATGCATGAATTCTTTTTTGAGATATTGCTAAAAAATCTTTCCTAATTATTGTACCAATTAAAATCCCCACATCAGTGTAAGAAAATTCCAGTTGCTCCACATTGTCAACATTTGATATTGATGGATTTAAACCATTTTAGCTCTTTTACTGTTTGTAGTGGTGGTCCATTGTGAATTTAGCTTTTTTCCCTGATGAGGTATGATGCCTTTTCACATGCTAATTGGACATTTGCATAGCCCTTTTGCCTAGAGTTCTAGTATTTTTTCCATTAAAAATTGTTTTGTCTGTTTTAATTGGTTTGTGTTAGTTCTATGCACATACAATGCACACAAATCCTTGTTAGACTTGTGGATTGTGAGTATCTTCTGCTCCTTGATTTGTCTGTTTACTTACTTATGGTGTCGTGTGATGGATGGAAGTTCTTTACTGTAGTCCAATTTTTCAAATTTATTACTGTAGTTTCAATTTTTCAAATTTATTCTATGGGTAGTGTTTACAGTTTCCACTTTAAAAACATCTTTGCCTATCCCCGAAACATAAAAGTATTTCTTTTGTGTTATCTCCTAGAGGCCCTTTATTTAATGTTTTACATTTAGTTTATAGTCCAGCTAAAAATTATGTTAGTGTTTAATGTGACAAAGGGCTAAAGATTTATTTTTTCCATATGAATATTTAATTGATGTTCTTGGTAAACCGGATGCTGCAGAATCTTGATTATTACAGAAACTGTGTTCTAGCAACAATTCAGGTGAGGCCACATTCCCATCACATGGTTTAGACTCACAAGGGTGTCCAGACTTTTGGTGTCTATGGGCGACACTGGAAGAAGAAGGGTTGTCTTGGGCCACACATTAAATACACAAACACTAACAAAAACCGATGAGCAAAATATGGTTATAAGTAAATTTACAATTTTGTATTGGGCCGCATTCATAGCCATCCTGGGCTGCATGTGGCCTGTGGGCCGCGAGTAGTACACCCCAACTTAGAGCCTAGGGAGGTCATTGCCAGGGGGATACACACCCTAGCAACATGGCCTGTCTTCCTTGGAACAAGAGACTTCTTTCTAGTCCTACCTCTAACTCTTGTGGTTTTAGAAACAAGGCCAATTAAGTCCAAGTGAGATTGGAGAGGGGTCTGAATTCAGGAGAGAATCCTTTAGAAGTCTCAACAGAAATCTTGGTACATTTATTAGAACTCTTTATAGCCAGACATTGTAACTCAAATTTCTTTTTCCTTAGGTGGCCAAAATCTGTATTTGCCTTTTTAACATCTCAGCAGCTGCTTTCTGGTTGTTTCTTCAGCAACTTACCCTCATACAGCTAGCAGGTCAACAAATCACTTGGAGTGGCCATTGCACACAAGATTTGGGGGTCACGACTATGTTGTCCCCTTTTAATTAGGAGCTTGGGCCCTCAAGACCTGACTCCTTTGGCAACCCTGAAGTTTTATATTTATTTCTCCAATCATTAGGCTACAGTTTCTAATTTTGTTTTCTTTCAAGTAGGGTGAACTCTGAAACACAGTTTCAGAGCAATATGAGTTTAGAATATTTCTAAATTTTTATTATTTTTTCTAAACTTTAGTGTTGTGTTATCTATATTTAACTCAATGGAAGTTATTTTAAAGATAAATTTTCCTTTATTGCATATTTTGAAAACACTTAGATTTCATAGAAGTAGCGTTTTTTATATTTATATGGCATCATTTGTAAATTTAAATTGCATAATTAGACTAAAGTAAAGAGATGTGGAAACAAATATAGCAGAGTCTTTAGAGACATCAGTCGTCATGATGGAAGCATGAGATTTCAAGGGGATACTTGGAATTAGCTTATTAGTTCTGAGACTCCAGGGGCTCTTGGACATTTCAGGGTTAGTGGGGAAATGCTCGCTAATGTGTAAAATGTACATGCTCTGGAAGGATAAGTTAGAGAAAGAATTTAATCTCAGACATTTTAGATGTCCTTTGCAAATGGATATTGGTCATGAAACAGATTTCAGTTACTTGGAAGAATCCAGTGGCATTTTGTTTATAGGGGTTTTCTTGAGGTACCTTCTGTATACACACACACACACACACACACACACACACACACACACGCTTGTACATCACCCCTTACACTTGGCAAAATATTCAAATATTCTCTGAGACTGAAACAATTTTGTCTTATACCAGTTCTGGTCTGCTGTTGGGCGTTTTCTTTTGACTTGAATTAAAGTAAGTGGTACTGAGACCATGGTCATCTAGCCTAAGCTTGGAGGTATATCCCAGAATGTGGCCGAGTGTGAGCAACTGGTCTGTGGCACCCGACCAGGAAAGACACGGGAGCAGGAGGACATGACTTTCAGGACTTGAATATATACATAGATTTACCACCACCTTTTAGAATCTTGTTCCCATTTTTTTGTAATTGGATTATTATATAGCAACTAGCTCTGGATATTTGTCTGTGATAGAAAAAAAGGAGGTTTTCACGTGATTTTTAATGTAGTCTGAAGTTCAATCAGAACTCTGGTAACACACGGTATAGTAGAAAGTTTTTCTCAATGAATGCTTTCAGAATATGAATTTCTGAAATGTATTCACTTAGTGGCAACGTAAGAGTCTAAAGCTTGTGTGGGTGGCAGCTTCCAGGGCATATGAATATGTAGGATCATATGGAAGTAGAGATATTAAAGGCCACTAAAACCCTGTTGTTTTTTTCTATTTTTAACTTAGCCCTTAGCAAAATGTACTGCAAAAGTGGTAGCAACAAATTTAGACAGGCCAGATAGAAATAGAGAATAATCACTGTATTGACTATTCTGAACTTTCCCTAAGTGATTGTCTGAGCCATTTTGATTAAAAATAATAACAATAAAGGGGAGAGAGGGCGAAGGAGGTGAAGGGATTAGGAAGTTCAAATTGGCAGTTACAAATAGTCACGGGGACATAAAGTACAACATAGGGAATGTAGTTAATAATGTCGTAATAACTTGTATGGTGTCAGGTGGGTGAGAGACTTATCAGGAGGATCACTTTGTAAGTTATGTAAATGCCTAACCACTCTGCTCTACACCTGAAACTAATATAATACTGAATGTGAAGTGTAATTGGAAAAGTAAAAAAAGGAGAGAAAGAGAGCAAGCAATGTTTTAATAACTGAGAATTGAGTGTGGAAGAGTAACTAGCAGCATTTATATAAAAACCGAGTTACTTGGATTGTTCCTGTGAAGTATTAAATAGTAGCTACTCAAATTTTCCTGTATTTAATCATTGGAACCAGGTCATTCATCATCCACTGAGTAACTATGTGAGCGCCTTCCATCTGTGATATTAAACTATCTCAAGTCACTTACCATCTGATTAAACAGCTGAGAGGGAGAGGTAGTGGCGGCAGGATGTGAGCACAGTCTAAGCAAATAGCACTAAAGGGAAGGAGTGAATTGGCACCAGGTAGTCAATATTCCTTTTTGGCTTGATGCAACCTAGCATTACAGGCCTGGTGGAATGATAGTGAAAAAGTAATCCTTTTATCAGTATGCCTTGGAGTCTAAGTATTTACTTTTCCTCCAGGAATTGAAGAAAGCTAAATTTAAACTTTACAGCGTACTACTTTTAGAAAGAGAAATTCTCCTTGAGTACCTGTAACCAAGTCTTTTATTTTTTCCTAGGGCTAGAGTTCTCTGGACTTATTGTTGGTAGACATGTCCCTGGCCTCTTCTTGGAGGACGTGTCCCATCGCTACGGGCAGTTGAGAAGCAAGAGAAGCTAGCTGCGAACCAGCTTGCACAACCGGAGGAAAAATAGTCATGATAGCAATAATTAGAATTCATCAAATTACATTTAGATTCTGTCCTAGAACTTCTTCATCCTGAGTCTTTAAAGCACATTAAGAGATAACTCGAGATCAATGGTTCCATCCAGCTGACGTTTAGTTACTTACAAGCCATTGAACCGCTAGAAGCTAAATGATGTCATCTGCTCCAGTAGTTTGTAGTGAAGACATCAAAATGCACACATACCTTGTACATGCATCTTTAAGTGTATGTACAGGTTTTTACTATAGATTTCAGTATCCATGGGGATTTTCCACATTAACTTATCCTATTTCCACAGGTTTTAAGCAAGGAAAAAAATGCAGTAAAAATAACAGTGTAAATAGTCTTGTCGTCTTACTTTGGGAAGTTTGAAGTATGTAGTTTTTCCCAATTCCCAGATGAAAGAGTGGAAGTCTAATTTCATTTTTCCCTGGTAGATTTATTTAGAATCAGCCCAGCAGCAACTTATGTCTTGCATTTTTTGGATGAGAGGTTCCCAGGATGCTGAATCAAGTGAACTGTGAAGATCTTGGGTGCTGAAGCCGGTGTCCTGCTGCTGGGCTGGTTTGGTTGATGTGGCAGAGGAAATTCAAAGCAGGACAACAAATCAGTTACACAACGGTAGACTGCAGAGGGCTGCAAAGCCAAGGCACACAAGTGAAAAGAGTCAAGGAGAGCAAAAATGTGACTCAGTTTTGATGTTCAAGATAATAATCGGAGAAGATGGTTAGGAGAACAGCACAAAATTGACAGATGATAAGGAAGAGGGTGTAGGGTGGGAAGATGGCTGAATTCTTAAACACAAAAATAAATAAAGAGAGGCAAGGCCTTTGAAATGGCTGTCTACTTGAAATCTTACACATAAAAACATGTTTGTGGGAACAGTCTGCCGCTTGTGAATACATTTGTCAGGGAACCAAAAATGTTCTGTGGGTTAAAGCATTTCCTCACCCATCAGCAATTCAGGATAGCAAAGTACATGTTTAGAAAGGAAATTAAGTTCAATAGCTTTTGGTATGTTTGAATGGGAACATACATCATTTCTGCAAAGCTTCAGTGATAGTTTTTAAACTGACAGCAGGTCTGACCACGGTTCCTTCAGTTTCCCATAATGACCGACCTTGTGAACTCCTCCAAGCCCGGTCTGGCATGAGGCATTACAGTGGTGTTGGCCCCTTTCAAACCTTCAGCTTGGATGAATTCTCATTAATTTTGTTTTTATTATGAAAATTTTTTATTATTTTATCCAGTCGTTCATTTATGGTGAGAGCAGTGGAACAATTTACCATGGAAACAGCTGGCATTTCTGGGTGAATGATGCCATCTTTAAGTCACCTGGCATTGATTGGCAGGGCCGGGGGAGGAAAGCGTGGGAAGAATATCTGAGTTATAGGAATAAGAAGATGGTTGGCTTGGAAGTCTCACTGTGAATCGCTCCAAAGAAAAATTAAAATTTTATTTTTTTGTCAGAAGAGGGCCTGTATCTTTTGAATGCTTATGGTGACAATCTTAAAAGTTAATATCCATCAGGAACATATTGATTTCTGGGCAATTCTGTTTACTTTTCTATGGAGCTAGTTCCTAACTAACTACACAAACCAGGAATGGCTTCTTGTTCACTTTTCTTCTGTATTCTGAATGATAATTTAATGGTTAGATACATAGTCATTTCAAAAATTACCAAAAATGTCCCAGATCACTATTAACAATGTGTAGTTTTTTTCACTGTAAAATTTCAAAACATGCATTCATGTGGTCTTAAATGATATTCAGTATTTTTTTGATATGTACTTTTATATGTTATGCAATTTTACCACACAAATATGTATTAGTTGATTTAAAGAAAGACATCATATGAGCACCTACTATAGATTTAGGACTTTCCATGGATTGTTTTACTTAATATTCATAAAATCCTGAGGGCTAGACATTATTATTTTTAGTTTATAAACGACGACATGACATCAGGTGATTTGCTCAATGTTTTCATTACATTTGGAACCAAGATGTGAATAAAGTTCTCTCTTTCCTCAATGTCTATGAGTAAAGATTAAAATGAATAACTAGCTCATAATTTCACCACCCAAAGGAAAACTCTGGCAGCATTTTCTCATATATTCTATCAGACTTTTTCTAAGGTAAAATACATCTCCTAACCCTCTCCCTACCCCTCACAGTTAGGGCCTCTGTAAACAATCGAATTCTTTTCAGATGGTTCTACTAAAGAGACCTCAATGAAAAGGACCATTTATATAAGTGTGTGTAGGGCACTGGGATCTAACAAAGGAGGTTGAGATACTTGGAAACTAACACTGATGGCCTATTACTTCCTTGGCCTGGGGGGTGCGGGTCTGGGAAAAATAATATTATTGGAGCCCAATGAAAGTTAGAGCCCTGGAGGAGGGACATCTGACCAGCTGCTATAACCCAGAAAGAATGCAACCACTGTGGCCTTACGGATCACTCCTCTTTCCTCTGAAACAGTGCTTTCTCTGCTTCGGTTCTAGTCTCATGTCAATGCTTCTTTTCGGCTGAACCCAGTTGGACTACAGCCTTGAAGGGAGCTTGGGTGATACAGACCCTAAGGGTTAGTAGCCTGGTGGGTCAAATAAGGGTAGGTTTTGAGAAACATGGAGTGCAAATGGGAAAAGCCATCATAAGATCTTGCTATGCATAACAATGTTTTCATTTTTATTAAAGTTAACATTAAAATGGCTTTATAGCTTGTTGCCAAATGGATATTTCATAACCTTTACAACTGAGAATTATCAATTGGAAATTTACAAAAATCATACTTTGATATTTTAACTGCTATTAAAAATGCTATAGTGAACAGTCCAATAGATAATGTTTTTAAAAGTATCCTTTTTCATTTCCTTTGCAAAAATTTATAAAAGAGGGTGAAGGTTTGTCCATTTTGAGATGGAATATAATGCAATATAATGTGGCTATTAATTACAGGGACTCGACTTCTTTCCGGTGTTCAAATTCTGGCTCTGCCATTTACCAACTGTGTGACTTTGGACAAGTTGATTAATCTCCCTGAGTCTCAGTTTCTTTATGTTTAAAAATGAAGCTAATAATAATTTCTATTTTATTATAAGGATATTTTTATGATTAATTAGATAATAAAATCAGAACACTTAGAATATATGATTTGCAGTAAGTATTATATAAGCATTAGATATTCTTATTTGTAAGTCTTTGAAAGGCTTGACAAACTGTTCTCTAAAAATTCTATACTGGTTTACATTTCCTTAAATAGTGTTTAAGGGTCTCATGTCCCCGTACCTTTATCATTCCTCTTAATCTGTGCCAGTTGAATAAACCAGATATGGAATCTCCTTACCATTTTAATTTTTGCTTTAGAATTAACTTAGGGATGCATTTAGTTTCTTTGATATAGAGAAGGGACTTCAAAACCACATAATTCTTTAGGGTCATTATGAACATCAGTCATCAGGATACTGTGTTTGTACAGGAGTGAGGGTTAATAGAGAGTTCTGGTTTAGAACATTGCTGCAGTGTATGATAGCCTAGTAAGTGTGTAAATAAGGTACACTAACGAATATTCATGCAATAATAGTTAGCCCAGCTAAATGAGTGTACCACCAAAGGGGTTAAATAATGCAAAGATTTTCCATAATGAAATACTGGGTATATAACAGATGTGCAATTCCAGTGTGAGATGGGCCCACGACTGTTTCCAAACCACATCACACGGCTCCTGAAATCATCCTTGCACCTGCTCATGTGATGTGCATCTGTGAGTAGTTGGCAGGGCCACTGGTGTCGATGTAGAAGATGGGACTAAACACGATTGCTTTATATCTGTCGCTGTTAGTGCTTGGTAAGATACTTCCGGTGGTAATTTTATTTACAGCTTCCTCTTTAGTGACCTCATATCTCCTTTCTGAAATCGCTTATTCAGATGAGTCACTAACACCATGTAGGGGGCTAAGCAATTCATACCACTCTTGGAAACAATCCACCTAAAACCAGGAGCTGAAATTCTGGTTTAAGGCTTAATGATGATGTTTCAATTGCTTTTCTTTAAATGTAAGGGGGTAGGTGCTTCAGTCTGACTCAGCTATGACATGCAAGCGTATGGTGAGGTGGTGACAGTGGAGAAAAATGTCTTCTTCTTGCTCGTGTTTTGGGAAAAGTTGCTGACACATAGGGAGGCTGTCTGATTAGACTCATGCTTATTTGCATGGTTGTGTCCTGTGATGTCTGAGGGAATAGGAAGCCAGTGCAGTACACATTTTCACAGAAAAGACAGACTATTCTTTGCTGTTCCTTTTGTGTTTTCTTTTAAAAAATCTTCACTTAACCCAAGATCCTAAAGATGTTCTCTTTTTGTACTAGAAGTTTATGGTTTCAGCTTCAGTATTTATGTTTATCGTCTATCTGGAATTAATTATTTGTGTATGGTGGGTAGAGTCAGGGATCATTTTTACCACATGTTTATCTGATTGTCCCAGCTTTATTTGTTGAAAATCTTGCTTTTCTCCACTGATTGCCTTTGTGCCTATTAAAGATCAGTTGAATGTATATATATGGGTATATTTCTGAAATTTCTGTTCTGTTCCACATATTTGCCTGTCAAAGTGGTTTTCAAAGTCTGGTCCACAGAACCATGAGGGTCCCTAAGATCCTTTCAGGGAGTCCATCAAGCAAAACCTAGTTTCATAATAATACAAAGATATCATTTACTTTCTTTCTCTGGATAGTTGTTCACACTGATGGTGTGAAAGCAAAGGTGGGTAAAATTGCCGATACCTGAGGGTAAATCAAGGCAGTGGTGCCAAAGTGTACTCACTGCCACACACTTAAGAAGTTCGTAATGAAGCAAGGAAAACTGATTTTATTAAAATTTACTCTTGAATACACATTTTTAAGATTTCCTATTTGATGAAACGGGAAGTGTGCACAAAACACTTCAGTTACTTACTGAAGCTCTGATTCTGATGTCTGTCTAGAGCAGGGATGGGCAAACTTTTTCTGTAAAATGCCAGTAATATTTTCAGCTGAGCACACCCAAGTCCTGCACCGAGGAACCTAGTGGGCCTTGCCACCATGGCAGAGAGCAGCCAGACAGCACGTAAACGGAGGAGTGTGTCTGTGTTCCAGCGGGGCTGTGTTTACTGCAGCAGGTGTAAGGCGCACTGGCCCCACGCTGGGGTAAAGTGTGGACTTCTGCTCAGGGGAAAAGCACTTTGTGCATTTGTCTGATTAGCAAGTTGAACTAAATGCTG